TCTGATATTTTTTGTGTTTCCTCTGTCCGAAATCTCTACAATGTCAAAATTGAATTCATGTCCATAGTTATCCAAGTGCATTGAAATGAGTGACGAGACGTCGTGGCGTTTAATAGCCAATTGGTACTTATGGAGACGAAGAGGGTGGCCACTTTGTCCAATGTGTAGTGTTGACTGCAGTTATTCCAGTTGATTTTGTAAATGATATTCGGTTTATCTTCTTTGCTTGGCATTTAGGTCAGTCAGCAATCAATAGATGTATACACATAGACCCGACTTATCAACCAATAAGAAAAACGATAAACGACAGGAAAGTCAGAGGTGAAGCAGAGGAACAGGCAACAGGAAAATCTATGGAATCAGCCAATGACACAACAATCGAAGGAAACAACCAATCACAGAACCACATCGTCAGAGCAAGCCACGGAGAGATACTGACAGCTCACTTCCTACTGAAGTTAGTGTTGATGATGTTGTCTAGCAAGACGATGAAAGCTTCACGATTACACAACCCAGCTCCTCAGATAACACAATACAACGAAGACCGTCCACCTGAGCTACAAATATTCTCGATTATTTAAATTATCAATATCTCTCTCTCCCTCTGCCTAATCACATTGGACTTCAGTACAGCGATTTCAATGCATCTACCCTGTGTGTGTGTGTGTGTGTGTTAATGGATGCACTGCAATAACCAAACGTTTTTCAAGATTTTTGATCCTACTAAGGTCTATCATTCTAATATTTAGCTAAATTTCTATGTTTCGATCATCTAGTTGACCGGCTAATTTCATGTATGTACTTGACTTCATATTCATGACAAAGAATTCGGCTACAGTAATGAATGAAGGTAGAATAATGCAGATATTTATAAGCTTGTTATCAGGTGTGTCAAGAACAAACCACAGTTAAAACTGTTCATAAACCAACGGATCTAAAGATCAAACTTGAGTACACTCTGATCGAATATAACATAGCCAGCAGACAATGAGTAATACTGTATTATTGTTGTTTACTTGATGACATCTTGAGCACAAAATACCTATTGCTCATAATCACATCCATGTGTATTCAAACAACTTTCGAGATATCTGATCATTATAATCCTGTCACATCATATTCTTTTCTTTCAATGATGATAGGCCTTTCCATATCTCTGGTATACAAACGTGTTGAGTGGGTGCTGATTCGATGAACCAGGATTCAGTAATCAATCTTTCTCTCTCTCTCCCTCCACCTAATTATATTGCACTTGAGTACAATGGTTCCATCTCACCTACCCCATTGTATGGTTGTCTGTTGATCCATACATTGAAATAGCCGAGTTCTTCTCATCTACATTATTGATCTATCTCAGGGTCTATCTTTAGCTAAGTTTCTATGTTCCGCTATTCTACTTCACCTCGACTGACTAGTTTAATCTATGTACTTTACCTCACAATCATTCCATGGAATTTGATAGATTAGATTAATTGGTTGTATCAGATATTTAGAACATTCAACAAAACTTACCTCTGATTCAGTTTGTACGTTTCAAAATACCACCCTAATTTCAGCCTTGTTCAAAATCCTACGTAAAGATTCTCGACTTTCTTCCTTATAAGGTAACAACACAATAGAGGCAATGAACTCCTTTCTACTCATATTGTCACCAATTTTCATATCCATATTACTGTTATCATTTCGTTGCTGATATTTCCCTACCAATTTCTTAATAAATCGTAGACAATAATTATTAACGCTTCCTTGAAATGACTAGTCACTTATCTAGCTCGATCATTTGACTAAAGTTGCCTTAACTAACTGACATTGGATGAGATGATATGAAGTCTAAATACCTACCGGTTAGAACATGTCAGTTTCCTGAACTCGGTAGTATACAAATCACCGACGTCTCTCTTTCCTTTTATCCTGCAATCTAACATACGTAATTCTCCTTTTCCACTTCATTGTCTATCAAGTAAATGAATTTCATTTCATCTATAGACTATTGAGTTCATACGTGTGAAGAAACTGTTGGTATATTCGCATATAATCAACATAGTAGTAAATGTGTCATCCACATATCACTAGCATAATATCTATCCTAGGTGAAGGATTAAACCTTTATAAGTCATCTTTTCTCAACTATCTATAAATATATATCTGCGACAATTGGGGATATTGGCGATCCGATTGCTACTCCTTCTGTGTGTCTGTATATATTGTCTTGAAACTTGAAGACTGTGGAGACTAGGCACAACTGCAAGTCTGATATGACATCATCAATTGATATCTACGTTCTATGAGTAAGTTGTGAGTCAATATTTGGTTGATTTCAGACTGCCTCAAGTGCCACATTAATTAACACTTTAGTATAGAGATCACTAGTGATCTAGTTAGTTTCACTAACCAAGCTTGAGAAGACGTTAACCGCTATCCAGTCGAATCCTGAATGGAACATAGAGATAGGTCCCCAACACTGGAGAAGTTGAGAAAGCGGTAGGTAGTCTGAACCAAAAAAGAGCAGCAGGACCACACGGACTACCTGCTGAGGTATACCAAGTATGGTGGTAAGGTGCTCTTAGTCAGGTTAACGGAAGTTCTAGCTAGTATATGGGAATCAAATACGATCCCCGCCGACTGGTCTAAGTCACCATCATCCCAGTCTTCAAAAAAAGTGAGAAGTCCTCTTGTGATAACCACAGAGGAATCAGCCTGACGAACACAGTATCCAAAATCCTAGGTTCTATAATTCTCCGACGCCTGAGTGGAGCTCGGGAACAGCAAGCCAGAGACAACCAAGCAGGCTTTAGACCCGGCCACGGGTGTATCTACCAAACATTCACATAGGCACGTTTACAGGCGTCCGACAGTAGCTGTATTTCCCGACATGAAGGCGGCATTCAACTCCGTTGATCGAGAAGTATTATGGCAATGTCTGTCACTGAAAGGCGTGCCTAGTAAGTACATCACCGTATTAAAAGCTCTCTACTCGAACACTTGTGGGCATGTAAGGGCCTATGGTGAGTTGTCCAGGGAGCTATGCTCATTGAGTGGTGTCCGTCAAGCATGTCCACTCTCTCCATTCTTATTCAATTTCATCATAGATATTCTCATGGGGGTCTCCCCCTCGTCACCGACGTTGACCTAAGTGGTGGAGAATTTTCGTTAGACCTAGAATATTCAGATGACATAGTCCTGTTAAGGTGAAGACGCTGACAAGATGCAGAGTCTTCTGAAAACTTTGAGTGAAAATTTCAGAATGTTTGGGATGCAGTTATCACCACACAAATGCAAATTTTTGCTCCAGGACTGGTCTTCAGCGGTACCCCACCGCGGTTAACAATAGAGAGTGAAGTGGTTGAGTGTGTTGACCACTTCACTTACCTGGGAAGTAGGATCAGCCCTAGTGGCTAGCTCAGTGGCCGATGAAATCTCTGCATGGACACAAAAGGCTCGATTGGCTTTTGCCAATTTACATCACATATGGCGCCGCCGTGATATCTGTTTGTCTACTAAGGGTCGCGTGTACCGCACAGCAGTCCGCTCTGTCCTACTGTACAGCTGTGAAGTATGGCCATTAAAAGTGGAAGATATGAGAAGGCTTCAAGTGTTTGACCACCGTTACCTTCGTAGTATAGGCTAGGCCGTATTCCGTGGTGTCACCATGTGAGTAATTCAGAAGTCAGGAGTAGAGGTAAATCAGTAGATGAGGTTATGAACCTTCATCGACTGAGATGGTTAGGACAGGTACTACGTATGCCTAGTCACCGATTGCCTCGTCACACAGTGTTGGCCGAAGTAGGTCCAGGTTGGATAAAGGGTGGAGGTGTCCAGACTAAAACATGGCACCAACCCATGAAGTCAATGACTGTTAGTTTGAGTCATGTGGGGCGGTGCAGACTAGGTGGTTGGGGTCCGTGGAACACGAGGAACCAGTGCTTGTCGGAGACTCTAGGGGATATGGCTCAGAACCGATGTCAGTGGCGCAGAAGTATCCCCACATACATTATCCTCATCTTAACGACTCTACATCGAATCTCACCATTTTCTCATTCTTCCTTTCTTTCTTCTCGTACTTAATATTTCTTTTGACTGCATTCTCTTATCTTCATCCTTCACCTCACTACCTTTCTACTTGATGTAGTGATATGAGGTGTGGCAAGTTGGAGCGTTACGCAGTAATGCCTGGTCCTATGTTGATATTGATGATGATGGAGTAAATGAATACATCTACGCCATTGTGATCATGTCAACATATTGCTTGTAAGGAGAAACGTTAGCGATGTGATCACCAGCCAGATTTTCGACAGAAACTATAAAAACATCACTTAGTAATGATCTGATTGTCACACTCAATTTGTCGATAATGAAAAAAAAAAAAAAAAAAAAAAAAAAAAAAAAAAAAAAAATCACACCCTAGACATAAAAAAAAGCCTATGGTGTTGTAGGCTAATGAAACCACCTGGTTGGTTGGAGTCGCCTGTGAGAAGGAGCTTTAACTCATGATGATCACCCACTTACTCAGGCAAATTCCATCCCTAGTTAAACAACTTAACAAATTGTTTGGTTACCGAGTTTTCGTCCACAAATGTGTGATGCAGACATCCAGGTGGTTACAGAAATAGACAATAATGTATAAAGATTAATTAGTTTAAGGCGGTGGTATATCATTGCTAGAACATATGAGACAATCATAAATGATAATTTAAAAAAAACAGTTGAGAAAAGATTTTTAAAAATGTTGATGTTTTTAGCTGTTTAGAAAACAAGTTTTCTGTCACTTTCGCCTTTCTCATTTACGCTAAAACAAGAAAACGAATTTCGATCACAGTTTATAAAAGTGTAGCTATGAATGTATGTATGTATGCGTGTGTGTGATTACTGAGAGGAGAGGAGAGGAGAGGAGAGGAGAGGAGAGGAGAGGAGAGGAGAGGAGAGGAGAGGAGAGAGGAGAGAAGTTCGTTGATGATAAACGTCCACATCATGGCGCCGATATGACTACACATGAATTCTACTTTGACACACCTTTTCACATTCTTTTTTAGTTGAAAAATTATTCTCATTTGCATCACATCCACCATAGATGAATGATTGACAAGTGCCTGTTTGTGGATTCCAACCCCAACGTTGTAAATTGGCACGACATTTACCCGTTAATCTTGGTAATGAACAGATGGGATTAAACGATTCATGAACTGAAGAGAAGAGAAGAGAAGGGAGGGTGGGAAGGAACAGAATGATAAATTTGAATCAAAAATACATGGATAGTTTGCTTAAAAACAAACAGATATATCAACTTGTTGTTTCTGGATGACGAATCCCAAGATAGGACAAAAAATGCGTCCATCATAACTATCAACATGGGAATCACTGTTGAATAACACATAAACGATTTAGTAAAAACTGAAATACTCCCAGTAGACCCCAATCAGCCATACAGCTATTGTGTATGGAGGGAAGTGATACCTACCTCTGGCTATCACTCAAACCTCAATAGGTGGGGAGTGATGTTCAAAGCTAACTCAACTATCATTTAGCCAACAGAGATACAGTTCGATTCAAACTCTTCATCAACTCTGAGTTTCAGGTGGTTTTACACTATACAATTATTATTATTAACCTCGCCTAGGTAATCAGTTCACTAGTTACTAACCGGTTTTAAGCCCTGATAAAGATGGAAGGTTGGGCATAGGGCTAGCGACCCTACACCGTAAAAAAAATCTAACCGCTAAAGAAATGTAAACAAACAAAGGAATATAAAAAATAAAAATAAACGTATTCTACGCCGGAATCGGAGGGGAAATGACGCCATTTGGTGAAAGCCTTCGAGAAGCCAATTGGCCGATGTATCTTCTCTCCATGAAAGTGAGAGCAAACATGGGGACATGAAATGTCCATACCATATATGACCGTTGGCTGGCAAGGCTGACCAGTTTGCAAAAGAGATGGGAAGATATGGCATAGAAGTGCTTGGAATCTGCGAAAGCAGATGGAATGGAAGTGGACTCTACAAACTGTTAACTGGAGAGTCAATAATCTACTCCGGTCACCCAGATGACAACCACGAGCACACTGAGTTTTAGAGTGGCTATCATGATGTCTCCAAGAGCATCGAAGGATCACTCGCATGCAGTGTGAATCAATCTCCTCCAGGATTCAGGATCATGACAGCAAAATTGAATCCAAAAGGAAGGAAAGTCACAATGATGCAATGCAAAGCAACATTATACACCTACAAATAATGCAGATCAAGAGAAGAAGGAGGAACTCTACAGACAACTACAATCAGTAATGGACAAGACCCCACCCAAGTTGGCGACATCAAAATTCTAATGGGTGGGATGACATGAATGTCAAACTAGGAGTAGACAACACAGGAAGAGAACCAATCATATATCGAGAAGCACTCAGTGAAATCAAAGACGATGGAGAATTGTTTACAGATTTCTACGCATTCAACGATTTGGTGATTGGTGACAACGAAGTGTGTACAAATACAAGAACATTCACAAAGCGAGCAACATGGATTCGATTTCACCAGATGGATACACTACACTAAAAATCAAATCGACTTCTGAAGAAAGTGAAGACGCAGCAAGCCTACTTGACACAAGATCAGATCAAGAAGGGGAGCAGATTTAGTTTCAGACCACTCTCACTAAGCAAGTGAAAGGAACCTTCAAAATCAAGTAGAAAGACTTGAAAGAAGCTGTTGATAGATCACAGTTCAAGTTCAACACCCAGAACAGAAAGTGAACGATGAAACTACGAGGGACATCCTCAGGTCAGTCATCAGGAAAAAAATGGGAGATATTGAGCAACATCCCTGAAGGATCGGGCGTACCGCTATACTATTTAGAAACTTGGCGCATCACAAAAAACTTCCAAAGAAAACTACGGACATCATACATCAACAGCCAACCCCTACGCTGGCTCGATACTGAAGATGAGATCAGATGACCAGAAAAAATAAGCAACAAGGAACTCTGGCTGGTGATGAACCAACGAAGCAAGAATCTATCACCCAACAAATATGCACTGGAAGAAAGTGAAGATGGATTGCATTGGATGAGATTGGACATACACTGAGAAGGCCGATTTAGGACATCATGAGCCAGGTCAAACCCTCAAGTGGAATCCAAAGTGGAAATGATAAGTTGGGTGTCCGAGGTGAGGGTGATATGCAGGAGATCATGTGAGTAAGAACTGAGAGCTTGTTTGGAGTCATGGAGCGAGGTTGATAAGACTGCAGATTGAAGAGCGGAATGGAAACGTGCCACTGAAGCTCTATGTTCAACTAGGAACCCAAGGGAGAAATAATAATAATAACATTTAGTATGCATTTCCAGCGATCTGATCAATTTTTCCACGTTTTATATCAATCATTCAAAAGTTCATATATGGTCAGTATATCTGAAATAAAGTTGTCATAAGCATCTTCTTAGATTATAAAATTTATCCATATACGTTAAGTTTAATGAACAAAAAGTATTACTGATTGATGACTAATCCAGTTATCGACTCTTGAGTACTACTCAAAAAATCTTTGATATGGTCACCAAACTAGACGATACATGATAGGAGTAAAACTTGAACATCATAGTAGATTGTTATTCTATTTCAGTTAAGGCGTTTTATGAGATTTATTGATTTTTTTTTCAAGTTGGTGGTATTCATCATGAACTGAGATCAATTGGAGGAATATTACAAAGCTGAAAGTACTCAATAACATCTATTTCATCGTACAAGTACGGGACTCCTTAGCAGACAACTCAAAGTATATCAATCCACCTGGAGATGACTTCATTTAGCATATCAGCCCAAATATATACATGTCTTACAGCATATCCGAAATACCTGACCGAACACACTATTTCTACCATCCTTCTAATGTACTTACCTACATATACAAAAATGTGAATCCAAGACCAAGGTCATTTTCTATAATCTCAGAGCATATCAGGTGATTCGCTAATTTGTCTACCAGCTGATCTCATACTTGGAACGGCACACGTGATTGTCTCCCCCCGCCCTCCTCTCGGCACGGATTGGTTACACGAATTATTCTCAATGGAAAAAAAGCATTGACTATCTTCTCATTACTTACTGGTGATATCGATGGAGGCTTTTACTGGGGATTTTATCTTTAAGTTAGTGTTCATCAGGGAATAACATTTGCAAGACGGTCATTGAATATGTAGGAGTACTGCACACCTTGAACTAAATTACTGTATAGTTCTGATTGGTGGTTTCAAGCTCCTGAAGTTCTTATGCGAAGCAGTAACCTGTCAAGTCAATGAAGTAGGAGGTGAAGCGGAGAGTGGGCAGTTGCGATATATAACGAAATGACAAAAATGAGAAGTTATGAACCATGGGAATTCAGCCAAGTATCCGAATGGTCCACGTTATCGCCACAAGACTTGAATGTCTTTCACTAAATCCCTGGTGGGGTGAAGTAGTAGGTACTTTGTCATCAAGAAACATAGGATTCCATGCAGATGACACTTTCAAAGATGAGTTAAACAGACTCCGATAAACACCGAAATATGAGAGAATGACCAATCTGGATATAACGGAGAGTGCAAATATCCAGGCTTCAGAAGAAGTTGAAGTGTGAATACATCTGTGCAGCTGTGACCAATTTCCAACCATATCACCAAGATACCTCAACCATTGATTCTTTTTGTCTCCAGGACACCATCCAAAGCAGTCAACATAGACATACACACCTCAAACCAACAGTCATGAAGTGACTGTTGTCTTGTTAGTCCGTTCAGCCCGAACCCTCCTCCAACTTCGGCACATACACTATGTATCGAAGTCCTCTCAGTCGACGAAGGTTCACAACCTCATCAATCGACTTGCCTGTCTTATCTAATGCCTTTTGCCTGACCTCAATATATGGCTCACATAGTAATTCCAGTAAACGCGAGCAGGGCTACAAAGACATCTTGTAATCGCTTCACGTTGTCTACTTTTAACGGCTATCTCGAAGGTATAACAAAACAGAAGGGACTACCGTGCAGTATACTCATCCTTTGGTTGATAGTCGGATATCTCTCCAAAGATGATGCATGTCACCAAACGCCGTACTAAGATTTCGTCAACAAACCGTCAGTGCGTTCGAACTGATGCAAATCCCCAAATAAATGAAGTGATTGACCCATTTAACCACTTCACTCCCCACCCGCAATCCTTAAACTGGAAGTAAATGCTGACCAGACTCCTGAATGAATGCTAACTGCTGACAAGATGCATGCCAAACATACACAAATTTCTGGTCATCACGTTCAGAAGACTCTGCCTGCATTTTGTCAACAACTACAACACGTTTGTTAAATCCTCTGAAGTAAGTTTTTAAAGTTATGTGCATTATCATATCTCTGACGAAGTTAAATCGAAAACATGACAAACGCCTCTGATTATCGTCAATTCCGATGACAAAATGGGTACCCATCCAGATTTATTTTACACTAAAAATTAGAATCAGCTGTGCAAATCGTTGAGAAGGATATTTTTTTACTGTCAAGCCACAGATTAACTTCTCTAGTCAGCAAATGATTCCGGCGTATGTTAAGGACTTCACCTCAGTTTCTCGCCTGGTGGCATCAATTAGCAAAGGGTTTCACTATCCGCATAAGCGTACTGACCTATATAATCATATTCCAGAAGGAAACAGTTGTCGTGGTTTGAACAGCTCAGTAGCTAAGTCCCTGACTTCACCTCATAACTTTAGACTCGCCTTACTGACGAATATCAGTAATGTCGAAACCCGTGTGGGACAGGATAGCCTACCGCAATGTCAAGTCACTAGTCAGATTACAAACTACTTACCAATAAACTTCGATCAGTGCTTTGTAAAACTTCCTTCCTGGATTATGCACTAACTAGTTTTTCATATGAATATATAGAAGAGAGAGAGGACACTCAGTTTACAATATCAACAACCTTAGATGTTTCTCCGTTGATTAACCTCTATGCCCTTTGAAATATCATTGGTAAAGTGAAGTGACCGAGTGAATATTGTTGAATATAAGAGATACTTTAACTGGAGGATACTAACAGCGACTGTTCCCCCTTACTACTCACTTTATGCGTCACTGAGGTGAAAAATTCATCAGGCAAAGACCCACACCTATGATTGACCATAAGGACGACACTTTTTTATTCAACAAAAGTACATCATTTATACACA